AAAAAAAAAAAAGAAAGAAACCATAAGCTATGGGACTAGCACAGTGCTTGGGGACAAGGAGCACACATAATTGCTTGTTGTCTTCCCTTTGTCTAGAAGGAAAGAGACCAAGAATCTGCCAGGTGGGAGTGCTGGAGGGGAGGGAAGAGGATAAAAGGAGGGTTTCTGGAAAGACAGTCCAATAGCATGTGCCTTCTCCCCTCTTCTTCCACTTCCCTCAGGGTACGGCCACGCAGCTCCCAGCACGGATGGCGGGAAAGTGTTCTGCATGTTCTACGCATTGCTGGGCATCCCGCTCACGCTTGTCATGTTCCAGAGCCTGGGTGAGCGCATCAATACCTTTGTGAAGTATCTACTCCACCGCACCAAGAAGGGGCTGGGCATGAGGCGCGCCGACGTGTCCATGGCCAACATGGTACTCATTGGCTTCTTTTCGTGCATTAGCACTCTGTGCATTGGCGCCGCCGCCTTCTCCTACTATGAACACTGGACCTTCTTCCAGGCCTACTACTACTGCTTCATCACGCTCACCACCATCGGCTTCGGTGACTACGTGGCACTGCAGAAGGACCAGGCGCTGCAGACACAGCCGCAGTACGTGGCCTTCAGCTTCGTCTATATCCTCACGGGTCTTACGGTCATCGGAGCCTTCCTCAACCTCGTGGTGCTGCGCTTCATGACCATGAACGCTGAGGACGAGAAGCGCGACGCCGAGCACCGCGCGCTGCTCACACGCAACGGGCAGGCGGGCGGCGGCGGCGCGAGCTGCGGCGGCGGCGGCGCGGGCGGCAGCGCGCACACCACCGACACTGCATCTTCCACAGCTGTGGCGGGAGGCGGCAGCGGCGGCTTCCGCAACGTCTATGCCGAAGTGCTGCACTTCCAGTCCATGTGCTCGTGCCTTTGGTACAAGAGCCGCGAGAAGCTGCAGTATTCCATCCCCATGATCATCCCGCGGGACCTCTCCACGTCCGACACGTGCGTCGAGCAGAGCCACTCGTCACCGGGAGGGGGCGGCCGCTACAGCGACACTCCCTCGCACCGGTGCCTCTGCAGCGCCGCGCCGCGCTCCGCCATCAGCTCGGTGTCTACGGGTTTGCACAGCCTGTCCACCTTCCGCGGCCTCATGAAGCGCAGGAGCTCCGTGTGACCGCCCCACGGGCCTGGCGCACTGGGAGGGCTGACAGGGTTGGGCCGGGCGGGGGGCTCCTGCCAAGAGCAGCAGCAAGGGCGTGAAAAAGGCCGCCCAAAAGCCTTTGGCCCCGTGGGGCACCCCCACACCCCTCACCACCCTTCACCCACCCCATCTCCGACTGTGCCTGCTCGCACCAGCCAGCAGGAACCTGGGCCTGAGGGACCCCTGGAGTCCCCATCCACGCCCTGCAAATTCTGAGAAATGTGAAACTTGGGGGGTCAGGGGACAGGAAGGTAGAAGCTGGGAGCCTCCTGAGCCTCCCATCCCTTTGGAAATCTAAGGCGCTTCCCAGTCCTCAGAGGACCTGCTGGTTATCAGACCCCCACCTCTAGAGGGGACTTCGTGTTCCATGTATGTTTGCATCTCTATTTATACCTCTGTCCTGCCAGGTCTCCCACCTTCCCTTGGCTACAAAAGCCAGGGTGTCTTTGTCCAGTTCACCCCCCTCAATCCCATTTCTTCTCCTCATCCCTAGCTGTGTCTCCCAACCTCCCACTACCTTTTGTGTTGTTTTGCATGGCTTTGCAGTATGGAGACAGTGGAAACCTAGCAGTCACTAAAGCTAGCCCCCAGAAGGCAAGACAGATGCAAGGAAGGACAGACAGGTGCAGAAGAGGGGAGAGAGGGAGTGGGGGAGGCAGTGGCTTCCCACTCTGCAGGGTGGTCTCTGCTGTGAGTGTTAGCTGACCTCCAAACACATTCTCATGAGGGATGGGAGAGGGTGGTCCACCCTTGGGGAGACTGCCCTTGGAGTCTGAAATCAGAAAACTCCAGATGTGGCTACTGCTAAGAATCACCAATTCTTAAATTTGTGGAGTGATTCTTAGCCTCTGAAAATCCTGTTCTGGCTACTCATTCCTTTGGTTCTCACAACACCTCAGTTAGGTTAACAGAGGAAGAGGTCTCATTCCCATTTTACAGATGAGAACACTGAGGCCCAAACAGGTGAAGTGGCTTGCCCAAGGTGACACAGACAGCAAAAGGCAAAGGGGAACAAGAACCCAAACTACTTTTTCCCAGTCTAAGTGCTCTTTCCTTCCAGCTCCTCAGACTGCTCTGAAAAGCAAAGCTCCTGCCTTGCCTGTCCGGCATTGGATGGGGAATTGGGGCTTAAACCAGAACCAGACACCTAAGGTCTGGGGCACTGCCTATACTATCTTGGCTAGGAAGCAGCGGCCTCTGAATGAGCCCCTGAGACCGGGTAGGGCCCCTTGGTCTCTGGACTGCCCTGTAAGCAGGGCTGGATCTCACAGAAGGCCAAGGTTTGGAGCATTTAGGAAATCATCTGAGCAGCCAAGAGAGTTGATAGGCATGTCCTGTTGTTGTTGTCAGTTCCAACTTATAGCAACCCCACATGAAAGAGTAGAACTGCCCCATAGGGATTTCTTGGCTGTAATCTCTACAGAAACAGATTACCATGTCTCTCCCACAGAGCCCCTGGGTGGGTTCCAAACTACTAGAACATTATCCCTGGCCCCACAGTCAGTGTTGGTGTCTGTGTCCCAAACAGGTAAAGGTAAGCTGATGCTGCAGCAAAGAACACCCTCCCAGATGGGGAACCTGGATCTCGTGTATCCACTGCCTAAAGCACCTGCCATCCAGAAGCCCAGGCAGAGGTGACACCCTTCACTCCACTGTCAGGACCCATCCCGGAGCTGGTACAGTGCTCGGGACAGCATCAAGAGGGAGTGCGCGGAAGAGCTCTCCTTCAAGACTGCCCTCCCATGCTGCTGATGCCAGCTCCTCAGCACTGCCAAGCAAGGCTAGCCTTGGCATTTGGGGAAGTGGGAACAGGGAGCCCACAGGGTGATCAGCCTCAGGCCCACCCCCAGCCATGTCCTTTGCCCTGTGGGAACCTATAGGAAGGAAGAGTCTGGCCTGGCCTTTGTGTGAGTCCAGTCTCAGTGTAAGGGAGCTGGCTGCCCATGTGCTCCAGGAAAGCAGGGCCCAGGACCTGGGCTAGAGCCCTCTGTATGTGTGTTGGAGGAAGAGCAGTGCTGGCTGCCTCTGTCCTGTGTGTGACCCTGCCCTCGAGGGGTCCTGTCCAGTCAGTCCCGAGGGAGCCACAACCAAAGTTACAGGGAGATGGTGAGGAAGGAGGTGGAATGACCCCGGGGGCAGAGCATTGCTGGCTGCTCAGTCTCTGGCTGGGTCTTTCCTAGGGACGTGGAAGGCCAATGTTGCTTCCCTTCCTCAACTCCTCCCACTGCAGGCAGCCTTTCTGCTTCCCCAATGCCTTATGTCTGGGCACACTGCCACAGAATATGCAATATGTGTGGGTGACAAGTCCCCACACCCACATCCCCACCCGGGCAGCCCCTGGACTCCAAAGGCTGTGGCAGTCACGGCCTTCCCTTAGTTCCTCCTGCCTATCTGTCTTCACACTGAGAATGGCGCCTAATAAATGCTGTCCATGGAGAACAGGCTCAGGCTCCAGCTGCCTCTGTCACCACATGCCGTTGGTGCTGCCAGGGAGCAGCTACTTCCCCCTGCTCCCCATCAGGGTCTACAGACACACCAACTACTGCACCCTGGGAGGACTAGACCCTTTGCTTCAGGAGCTTTAGGAGAGAAATCACATGGGCAGTATTGGCTTCCCTTTTGTGATTTCCCTGAAGATCTAGATTTTCTGAGTGTCATCCTGGGACAAACCATCAGAGCACACTAAGACCTGAGAAATCATCTGGTCCAAGTCTCCCCTTGTAAATAAGCAAACTGTGGTTCCGAGAAGGCAAGTCATTTGCCCTAAATCACACAGCAGTAGGTGAGAGAATTAGAAGCTCCTCTCCTCACACAGCCTATGGAGTCTGGACTGGATACACCACAGTTGACTTAACTGACACATCAGTAATAGCTCCCTGCCAAGCAGGAGTGGGGATGCCCTTCTCCTCCAGCAGGGGCTCCTGACACAGAAATGATTGATACAGAAATGTCTCTTTCAAAGGAGACAGGTCAGAAGCATCTTTCTTCAGGGTACATTTTCTTCTGGGTGTGGAAGGATACCCTAGACCTAGGACAAGGCTGACATGGAAAGTCGATGTGAACCCAGGACAGACCCAGGGTGCTGATCCATCTTGCCCAGCTGGAGCCAACCCCCAGAGTCAGCTAGCCAGTGACTTCCAATTCATTGAATATGAGCCACAATAATACTTTTTACACCACAATCCCATAACCATCTATCTATATATCGTTCATGAAATAATATTTAACCCCTACTCTGGTAGCATAGTGGCTAAGGCACTTGACTGCTAACCAGAAGGCTGGTGGTTCAAACCCACCAGCCACTCCTCGGAAGGAAGGTTGGGCAATCCTACTTCCATAGTGATACTGCCTCGGAAACCCAAGGAGGGGTCGCTATGAGTCAGGGCTGACTCGATGGAACATAACAACAACAATAACAACAACCTCCAATGCACTCTAATATTTTCTATTCTATTTCATGTTTTAAAATTTATTTCTACATTGGTTTCTCCACTCGTTAGTGGTTTGCTACCTGCAGATTGAAATACATTAGAGAAATAAAGGGGTGGGGATGAGAGTGTTTCCTCTCAGTCCTCCTGGCTACTCACACAGTCCAACCAAAAGATGCAGAGAAAGACTGGTATATTGGAGGGTGCAAGGTTCAAAGAAAAAAAATGGTGGTATACACATCCCAGAGAAGCAGGATAGAGTCAGCCTTCTGGTCTGATGCTCCTGGCTGCCCCCAGCAGCTACAAGCAGGTACCTGGGACATCCTCCTCATTGACCCTCATCCTTCAGGGTGGCCACAGTGGAACTGGGGCTTAGTTCCTGTTGGCTCACCCACTCCTGAGGTCACTTCATTAGAAGGTCACTGTCCATTGGCCCAACTGCCTCCGTCTTTCTTCTAACAACTAAGTGCAACAATAGCAGAAATGATTTCATTTTTGAGGTCAGCAGTGGCCAGTACAAGGTCACTTTTACTTTCTTAAGCAGTCCTTGCAGGACATAGGTAAACATGCTGACACTTGCCCTTCTTTCTTAACCGCCTGGGGCAAAATAATCACAAACAGAACTTGAAGGAATCTCCAAAGGCTGTGTTTATCCCGGTCTTCCGAGAGGTCTTCATTACAGGGATAACTGTGAATGGCATCCCAGCCCCTGCCCACAGCCCTTGCCCAGAGCTCCTAAGAGCTCAGCATTGCTCAAGGTCCTAACAGAGGCTCTTTACCTCCTGATGATTCCATCCCCCCTCCCTCACTTCCACACAGCATTTGAGGTCTCCTGCAATAAAGATATATGCACAAGCAAAACAGAAATAGAAAACCAGAACCGCAGAGGCGGGGGGTGGAGCATAATGTAAGATCCCAGGCTGACGGGGAGTTGGTGTGAGCTGGAGACATTAACTTCCTGGGAGCCAAGAGAGAAAGAACTGTGCCACTCCTCCTAAAACGTGTCTCACGATATGCTTTGTGAGAAATGGTTCCGTGGTCAAATGAATCTGGAGAAGTGCTGCTCACATCACCCCTTTATATGCAGCTTCATAAGGCATCCAAGCTTAGGAACATTCCTGTAGCAGACAGTTGTTTAGTTAATCTAGCTTGCCCAAACTCCTCCCAAACACCAGACCCTCTATGTGCAGGACATCCTTTCATGTCTTGGGTTCCACAGAGCACATTTTGGGAAATGCTGATCTATGGAAATCTCAGTGTCTGCTGAAGAGAAAAGGCAGATCCCTCTCTCCTGCAATCAGGAGAGTTTAAACTGTAAAAGGAGTTTAGCACATAAGTCCTTCTATGACTGAAGGCCAAAATATTAAAAATACTTGTATTATTCTCAGCTGAAACCTAGGCTGACAGCAGCTCACTTGCCTAAGATCAAGCAATGAATTGGCAGCAGAGTTGGGATTTGAACCCAGACCTAATGCCTCCAAATCATAAGCTCTTACCCACCTTGCTGTCTTCAAAGCAAGTTTGTCAATAGTTGCATAGCTATTT